ACGATTTTCCTGGTGATCATTGGTGACGCTAGTTGGCGCAGTCATTTAGTTGCGCAAACGGATTATCACTAACAACGCTAATATATGTATTATTATTTCGATTTTGGTAAAGTCGGTCATTTTTGCTAGGTGAGTGTACATTAGCAAGATGTTGTATTGCATTGCTTATACTAACTAAAGCTGCATATGTAATAGTACATAGTTTGCTGTTAGAAAGAAGGTTTTTATAAGCCATTATTTTACCAGGTCCACTGGAATTATCTTTTTCATCAAAGAATTTCCATACAAAACTTTGCTTAGCTGATCCATCAGACCCTTTATGTCATAGTCTTTTCGCAATATGTGTATATGCATTAGTATTAACATTTTCGTCAAATAAAATTTTAGATACATTACTTAATCTTTTAGAATTACTTAAAATTGTTTCTTGTTTTAAAGAAACATTATCATTGAAATTTGCATCATAATATTTTTTAGAACCCATTTTATAAAACAAAATTTGTATGAAAAAATATGAAAAAATAATTTTGAAATTAAAATATCTTTTATATATTATTTAATTAATTTAGATGTTACATATACGCATGCATGGTGATATATGCCTATTAAACAATGGATCCAAATATTTGAATATTTGATTATCCGGTTATCCATTCGTAATTGGTGATAATTGATTAAATGACCAAATAATCAGTCAATATTTTCGTCTAATCAATCATTGTAATCAGTTAGTCATATCCGGATAATTTGACTACAGATTGAACGATTCAGATCTCTATCCCATACTATTGAAATAAATAAATTGTTAAATTCATTAATAAGCAAATAATCTATTATTTTTTTATTAATTATATTATCCATATGATAACCAATTATATAAGTTGTTCTAATAAAGATTTTGGATTTGTTAAAAGGTTTAATTTTTTTTAATTTTTCTCAGGTTTTATCAGTTATTTGTAAAGCTCTGAACAGATCAGTCCAGGTCAGATCAATCAAGTTACCTGAACCGAGAGGACCAGGTCAGGTCAAACAAAAATCTGACCTGATTTAAATTTTCATTTGACCTGACCTGACCTAACCTGACCTGATCTAATCTAACCTAATTTGATCAAATTATTTAAATTATTTAATAAACAATATATTATATTTGATTCAATTTAAAACTCTAATTTATTTTGTTATTTTTCTTTTACTTTTTCTGTAAAAAAAATTGTATGCAAAATGATTTAAAAATTTTTAATTTGATAATTAATTACAGTTACACAATTAATTACAGTTGCATGATTAATTATAGTTATACTGAAAATCAATTTTTCAATCTTTTTTTTTCTTTTTTTAACAAAAAAAACACTTTTATTTTATTTAACATAATCTTTAAAAAAAACAACCTTATTTTTAAATACTTAAACTCGTAAGAACTCTTATTAAATGTAATTATTTTTATTTTTATAAATTTTAATTTTTATATATATTTTATATCTTTTTTTATAAACATTAATACAGAGATTTCATGACAAATTTTAAGCACTTTATTTAAAGTCAATTACCTTTCATTTATAAGTGAAAATTGTTCAGTAGGATTGATACTATTTACATCTAATTTTTTAACTTGATAGGATTAATATTCGTATAGAAATAATTTTTTTTGTAACCTTATTAAATAAGTCACACTTTTTTGACTTCACAAGGATATTTGAGCATTTTAGTCAAAGTCAATCGCTTTTCATTTCTAAGTGAAAGTTTTTCAGCAGATTCGATACTATTTGTATATAAAATTTAATCTTGATTGGATTAATATTCATTTTATAATATGTATTTATGTAACTTTATTAATATTGCAAACCTTTTTTTTTTAACTTCACAGGATAATTTGAGCACTTTGGTCAATGGTCAAAGTTAATCACCTTTTATCTCTAAGCAAAAGTTATTCAGCAAGTTCAATACTATTTACACCTAATTTCCTATATTGATGGGATTAATATTCATATAGAAATAATTTTTTTTGTAACTTTATTAAATAAGTCACACTTTTTTAACTTCACAGGATAATTTGAGCACTTTTTCAAAGTCAATTACCTTTTATCTCTAAGTGAATATTGTTCAACAGGTTCGATACTATTTATATCTAATGTTTTATATTGACTGGATTAATATATTTATGTAGAAATATTTTTTTTTTGTAACTTTACTAAAGAAGTTACACTTTTTTAACTTCACAAGGAAATTTGAACACTTTAGTCAAAGTTAATCGCTTTTCATTTCTAAGTGAAAGTTGTTCAGCAGTATGATACTATTTGCATATAAAATTTAATTTCAATTGGATTAATATTCGTGTTTTAATATATGTTTTTGTAACATTATTAATATCACAGACCTTTTTTTTAAAATTCACAAGATAATTTGATCACTTTTGTTAAAGTAAATTGTTTATTGCACATTAAGTAAAAATATTCTATATATCACTAGTTGAAATAAGAAAAATCGGCAATCATTAATTTTGGTTAACTTTCAATAATGCTGGCAAAAGTTTCGGCAAAATTTCGACGACTGGCATTAAGATTCAATTAAAATCTAACTAAAATTAGACTCACTTATTTTTAGTCTATTGTCAACTTTTGGCAGCATTGAGAGTCATTTAAAAATTGATTAAAATTAGGCTTGCCCGTTTTATAGTCTATTTCTAGCTATTTTATAGTCTATTTTTAATCGAAATATTTTTAATTATAAATTTGATAAAATGTTATTATAAAAAGTCATAAATATAAATAAAATCGTCATTTAAATTATTTAAATATGATATTTTCTGTTAATTGGGTTGATAGCAAGATATTCTACTGCATTACAATAACTTTAAACTTTGTATTTCGCTAGAATAAATCGACCAAGGATATGATGTACAGGTATTATGCAGTCACGACCTTCAGGGTAAAATCCATTGCACCATAACTCAACGTTACAAGTATTTTCAGTGCTAAAATAATATCATATATTTGTCGAATCAGCATGACGATACCATCTGATGTATGTTAAATAATGTGTTAGAGAGCCATCCAGTAAGTCAGCCACATGAGTAAAGTAATATTGGACTTGTCCGGGATAGCAATCAACATAACCATTATTTGTCATGAATTTCGCCAAGACATAACAGCTTTTTGCATAGCATAAAGATATTACTGAACTGAAAACTTCAGATCCAATCTGACACCTTTCAAATTTATCTGCTTTTATACGAATAGTTATGTTATCTATCGAACCTCTTCCAGGTTTACGAAATTTAAGTGATTCATAAGCCGTCGTATAATATTCGACCATTAAATCCAACATTATAGCCGAAAGTGTGATATTTTTAGAAGAAGGTTTCAACATTTCGCCTAGCATTCTTTCACTTCCGGTGATTTTTGATTCTTGAATATTTCTAGAGTTAAGCCAGAATCGATGGATCTTGTCAGAAGAAAACTCGTCAGTTGCAGATAAAGATCCAACTGAAGGCCTATTGTTCAATAGTTCAAAGCCTCTTCTTTCTATACCAGAACTCGTAATTTTACTTATTTGAGCGTCAAACATTAATCGACGCATAATTTCAGGTTCAATTTGTTGATAGCTATTCGGCAAAGAACCTAACAAAAAAAAATAATTTAAAGAAACATTGAAGATTATTAGATTGGTAGTAAGTTTAAAAACCCACTCACCTAACACACCGTACATACGCTTAAATAAAAAACACTAAAAAGAATAAAGAGGTCCAAAATTATGCGTGCATTCATGCAAGTGAAGCGAAAAGTAAAGATTTGTTGTTATTTTATCTTGACTGTAATGCTCTTCAATTAACTTTACTATCTTGATCAGCCTATTATGAGCCTCAGTCATGAGATCATGTTCTAAAATCTGATTCACTAGAATTGAACAAACTCTAACATAGTGTGTAAGAATTTTCTTATCTTTAGATGGAAGGTATTCCCAAAGTGATACAGTTGCATAAATAGTAAAGAATATTTGCCATTGATCCACCGTGAAGTTTGAAAAACCTTTCCCACAATCAATTTTCTGAGGAATTCGACCTAAATTGAACGGAATTTGGAATTGACTCATTATTTTTGGACATTTTTTAGGTCACTTGGCGTTAAAACACCTTCATCGACCCAAATTCTTTTGATTACCCATTTCACGATACCCAAAAATAGGCAATGCATTGGATCAACGGTTAAAACCGAATTAGGTCAAAATAAGTTAAACGGAGTAATTCAGACCATCTAACTCCAGTATCTTTAACAAAACGTTTCCTCACAGCGTCCGAATTGCATCTTCACTAACTAATAGCATCTTGACGATGCTGAGTTGAATCCCAAATCGTAAACCATCTATCCATGTCAGACATACCTGCAAAATTATATTAATTATTTTCATAATTGGCCTTTTTTTTGCATATGTGACATAATACTAATGCTGAGACGTGACCGCAAATTTTTCTTGCAGCAGGTATATCACATGAGACCAAGATCAATGCCGCATGAACTCTTTTCCCATCAGAACATTCATGTGTGCTATTCAGAGTTATTCCACTCCAAAGTGACTCTAATTTATCAACAATCAGGGCTAAATAATGGTTAATTTTGTGTAGACTAACTTCATTCGGCCTGGATAAGATGCCCAAATTAGCATATTTTTACATTTAAAATGCATATCCCATGGTAAATTACATATAATGGCATATGTTACACCAGTATTATGAATAGTTCCTTCGTAAAGCTGAAACCAATTAAGATTCAGCATCAGACCAAGATGTGAGTCAGTGACTTCTCGAAAAAAATACGGTGAACCTTCTTTAGTAGTGTCCTTAAAATTTCGCCAAACTTGCCCATCATATATGTCCGTTGAAATATTATCGTATGTTGGCCTATTTACCCAATGACGCAATGAAGCTTCAAAGCCAGGTTGACGATATAAAGCTACCAATTGTTTGCGAATTTCAACAAATGGATAAACTAGCTCTGGCTTGTTTATGATTTGACCACTTAATAATTACGCTTGTTTAGATAAGTTCATTTGGCACATTTTTGATTTACGAGTTGCTGAATTTGGGAATTCAACATGATTACAATTCATAACAGAAAGATATCCATTTTTCTGAAATTCAGCGACTTTTTTTTCATCATATAATTTGTGACATTTCGGGTATATTGCGAAATTATGAAAGTTATCTTTTAAGCTGAGCTTCATTCTTGCTAAATAAAGTGAATTAGGAAAAGAATCGAATTCGGGGCTACCAATTTCTTTTAATACAAGCTTCATGAACTTTATGAGTGACTCTGTAGCTATCTCTGGTAAATTAAAATTTACACAAAAGCTCATTATCTATAACAATATCCATAAGGAGCGATCATTATTTATTGATTGTGTGTTATATGTTTCTTGAAATGGTATAAATGATGGGCACGAATATTCTTCGAAAATTTCAGCAATATCATTATAATCTTCGTTTAGCAAACTTTGACTTTTACTCTCACTGCTTCCATTCTCGTTTACTTCTGAATTATCGTAAACATTATCATCAACGATAAGATTTTGTTCGAGGTTTGATGTAAGATGATTTGTATATCTTTTACGCCTTCGAGGGTGGTGATTCATTTCCTCCTCATGGTCTTCTTGCTGTATTTTATTTAGATTCTCTTCCTCATAGTCATCTTGCTGGAATTCGTTTCCTTGTTCATCCGATGATAAATTAGCCAATCCTTCTTGGGTAAAAACTGTTCGATCTTGTTCATGATGATTGTCATGATAATGTATTACTCATAGATCAACCAACGCGCCATCGCATTTATTGCAATAGCATGCAACCTTTGACCTTTTTCTTTTTTTATACATTTTGAAAAACAAATAAAAACTTGATATTTTTAATATTTAATGTTTATATACATTTATTTTAAGATATCTAAGTCGGTTTGCATGCAATTAAGACAATTCGATTTTGTAGGCAAGAAAATACATAAGTTAATTTTTAATTATATTTTGTTTTAAGTATAATAAAATTTGAAGTTTATTTTGTTATTAAAGCTTACTGAAAGTTTAAATTTTTTATATAAAAAGAATCATTTTCTGATTTATACTCAAATTATCTTTCTTCGTGTATTTTTAATTTCTACAATACAACAACAATAGAAACAATGACTTGTCAAAAGACGACGCATCGTAATAACAATAACACTTCTCCCGCCTTAAAGCAAACTAATACAACAAATACCCTTTGTACTTCATCAACATCAAGCATTTCAGCCTCGCAACAAGATACGTGTTGTCATGCTTCAATCTTGGAGAATAATGACTCCCTAGTCTTACAACAAAATACACAGCCAACTTTAAACATTCCAGCCTCACGAAATAATATAACAAAAACTCTTTGTGCTACTCCAGCCTCACGAAATAATACAACAAACACTCTTCGTACCTCACTAGCTTCAGGCACTTTACTCTACAATAAAATATGAGTCATCATATTCTAACTTTAAAAGGTAATAATTAATGAAATACAGTTAATACTAATCAATCAATACTAGAGACTGTCAAAAATCTCAAAGGGAGAGTGCATGGCCTTTGGGCACCAGATTTCACCAAAATAATCGACGATAATAAGAGTAACGTGCCTATTCATAGCATAACTAGAAATACGCCTATGGAACCTATCGATTATCCTCACAAAGGTATATCATTTGGCTTGTTACATCATTATATCATTTTATCATCAATTTAATCTACTAGTTTGTCTAGAAATTACAAGAACAAGAGAAGAAGTTGAATGGTAGAAAGAGAAAACTCGCTTTTGGCAAAATGGCATGGTATTGTTATCAAGCAGATTAAAAGTGTTCATGATGATGTAGATCATCTAAATATGGAAATAGAACGATTAAAAGCAGAAAATAAAGCTCTTATATTTGTTAATAAAGAACTTTTAAAACTTAAGGATGAGATAAAAACAGAATTTGATCGATACAAATCAGAACAACAATTAATTGATAAGGATGATGATACATTAGCTGATGATGATGATCGTTCCTCTCGGCCAAGAAATAGGGTAAAAGTTATATCAAAATTGAGAGGCAAAAACAAAGCTTCATCAATCGAAGCCCAAGAATCAGATGATGAAACAGCGCGAGTTTGTAATTTTATTTATTTTATTGTGATAATTTAAATTTTAATCTTTATCCAAATATTTGTTCTTATAAATAGGCAAAAATGAAGGAGATATTAAAAACTTTACCAAACAACTTCAAAATGAAATATGATCAAGTATTTAATAGCTCAGACAACAAAAAAATCTGGCAACAATTAGTACCAGAATTATTAAGATCATTACGACCTCGATACAACCCTTTGTATAATCAATTGAAGGAGTGGCTCTGTGCATTACATAAGCACTGAAGAGACAGTTATATGCTAAGCCAAAAAGGAACTCAAGATCGATCTAACAGACGAGTACACAATAACAATCACGTAGCAGAGGCATGAAATTTGTTAGTTTTATAATTTTTAACATTTGTATCTAACATTTTTCATATATATAGAAAAGAGATCAGCGAATAAGAGGTGCATTGGCTTTATTCAATGCGAAAGATCCTCAAGTCTCGAAGTATAATAAAGATGAAATTATGAAATTGCTCAGAATTTCAGAATACCATTCATCTAAGGAATCAGAAACAGATCAGGAAAATGATGAAGGAAAACGCCAGATAGTTGTATACGATTATTCCTGGCGTTCAAATGAGGTTTAATAATTTTATCATTCTTAGTGTATTAGCTTCCTCAAGTACTAATAATAATTCGTTTAATTTTTAATTTTCTTTATATAATTTCAGTTTAAGAATCTTTTACGAAATGTTTTCAAAAGCATGCATTGTCACAACAATCAGCTCAGCTGATGAGACCTCAGATTTATGATGAAATTCGTTTCTGCAAAATGTACCACCGCCAAAAAATGCGCCAAGTTAGGCTTGTAGGCAACGAGTATCTCCACAAGACAAAATTATATGACAAAGAGCTACCGACGGTTATGACCGTTCGCTTGATTATAGTACTGAAGAAGAACATATGTATAGTGAATCTTCAACAACCAGTATGATAAGAGGAGCGATTTTACAAAACGAATAAGATGAAGACGTTCTACAATATGATGATGTTCTACGATACGACGATGCTTCACGAAGCGATGACAATTATGAAGACATTCCACAATATTTTATCGATGATGAAGATGTATAATTCTAGACGAACTTTTAATATTTTCACATATTGCTTTTTATATAATATTTGCGGTCTTTGTACTTTTATGTATTATTTTTACATTTGCATTTTTATTAATAATAAACTTTTACAAAATTAAGTTAAAATACAACAAAAAATACAATTGAATTCGTATGAAATTCGACATAAAATTTCAGCCGATTTTTTATCTATATGTAATTAAAAGTTAGTCGATGTTTATACCTGAATTATAGTTGTTTGTTACCTGAATCTCAAGTCTAAAGATAACCGAAAGATATAACTAAAGGTGCCAGTCAACTACCTAACATTCGAATAAAAAAGCAAACTTTAAGTCGAAATTAAATCTAAAACTGGCAATCCTAATTCTAGCTGAAACGGATCATTTCAACTAATGTTAGTCTTTTTAACTTCAATTTGAGCAATTTGACCATTCTGTTGATTTTTTAATTTCCTGTTTTCTTCTTCTAGTTACTTAATTTTTTCTTCTAAACTCTTTATCTTATCCAATAACTCTTGTTTCTATTTTTTACTTCATTCTTTAGATTTTTCTTGAAATTTGACTACCTTCTTTCTTTCAACTTCTAGGACTTTCTTTGCAGTAGCTAAATCTTCTCTTAAAGAATTTATTTACCTTTCATAAAAAGCAGACATACTCTCTTTTTCCTAAGACAATTTAGGAAGTTCTTTTTCATTTCCTTCTTCTTTATAGTCTTTAATCTTCCACAACTGCATTTAGGCAACTCATCATTTTCAAATTTTTTTTTACAACTCTCACAAACCTTATCACTTTTAATCATTTCACCAGTCACTTTGCTTTGTGTTCTGATTTGACACACTGCTTTTTTTAAACTAAAGCAAAAAATGCAAGTAGAATTACTGCTATGTCATTCTTCTAACTCCAAAATAGTGTAAAGTAATTCTCTCATAGTAGTAAAGTAAACTAATTAACTTTTACTTCTATTTGAGCAGTAAATTCTTGGGCTTGGTGTTTTTTATTTTCTACCAATTGTTGAAGTTTTTGGAACTTGGTTTTAATTCTTGAACCTAATTTTTGAAAAGTATTTTATTTTTTAGGTAGAGTAGACAAGGCTTTTCTTTTCAAATATAACTGTCTATTTAGTGTCTCTTCTCTTTTCTCACTTTTTGCTAACATTTTGATTTCTCTTCTAACTTCTCTTGTAATTTTTTATTTTTTGCTATTTCTTCTTCAAGCATTTTATCAGCTTTTTGTGATATTAATGCTTGTGCTTTGATTTTTCCATTCAAAAGCCCTTTTTATCAGTTTTTTCATTCTTCAGCTGTATTAATAGCTTTGGTTAGGTCTTTAGGAGTTTGATATAGTTTTTCAATAACTATGAAAATAACTTTATTTAAATCTTCCCCTATTCTGCTTTTTAATTCTTTTAATTCTCCTAAGTCTTAGTTATGAATTTGCTTATTTCAAGAAATATCATCATTCTCTTCTTGTTCCTTATGTCAAACTGATAAGATTTCTATAAGTTTTGTTTCTAATCCTTCAACTTGTTCTTTATACTTATTCAATTCTTTTATTTTCTCTTCATACTCTTGCTTTTGTTCATAATTCTTAGCATTTAAATTACTGATTTTTGACCAATTTCCTGCATATTTTGAAGCTAAGTCATTTGAATAATCAATAAACCCTTCTAATATCTCTTCAATGGTAATATTATTAAATCAAATTCTTTTATAGTTTTTAGCTTATTTTCTAATTTCATTAGGATCTACTGCCATTCTCAACTTACTTTCATCCATTCATTTCTTATTTAACTTCTTGTATCATCATGTTCCCCTAAAAGTATAAAGACTAACTTCACCCTTGTCATTAAGAGACTGACCAGTAACATGTTAGATTTTTAGTTTAAGATTTTCTTTTTTATCTTTCTTTTTATTACTTTTTTAAAGTTCATTTATAATGTTTGTTATGACTTTTTTTTTATTATCTTTTTTTTATTTTTTATTTATTCTTTTAATATACTTATATCCTTTTTATGAGGACATTTATGAGAACATATTAAGTATATAAATTATTTTAGTATTTTTTTTTTTTAAAAAGTGGAAAAAGCTAACAATATTTGTCAAAAGATTAAACTTATTAAAACTTAATGATAACAAAAGACAAATTAATGAAGGACAAAGTTATGGAAGTGGTTTTATTCTGAATATTTTATCTGTTGCTAGAATAGAATGGCCTTGGACAAGTAATATCTTTGTATTCATCTTTCACAAATGGGTGAATATTATGATAAAGGTATTCTTGCTTTTTGTAATCCAAAGAAAGTAGCATTAACATTAAAATAGATAGAGCTTTAATTTCTTCAAAAATATTTGCTCTCTTAATTTTTAATAAATTAAATTCAGTAAAAGGACCATTAGCAACTTCCTGAATTTTAACCACACCAAGATTAAATGCTTCAAAAAGAAAATGTTGATATCTTTGCAAGCCATTTAGCTTCTTAAAATAAATTTCCAAAATAGCCTTAATATCTAAGTATTGAAAACCTTTTCTACTTTCATAATATTAAGCTTTATTTAATCCAGTTGGACTAGACTTTTTTATCACCTTAACTACATGATTCAGACAATCTACTCTGGTTCTTTTATAGAGTTTTTTTATTAAACTAAAGCTACCATCACATTTGAATTTAGTATGTTCAGAAATCATAAAATTCAATTCAATACTTTTATAATAATCACAAATTACTAGATACAAATAAAATCAAATTGTTACATTATTTTTATTTTATTCACCAGCATTATCACAAGTAATCTTTAAATGCTTCTCACTTTTATTCAATTTCTTAATTCTATCAAAGATCATATTAAGTGTACTATTAGGATCTTTTTCTATAATTTCATTTTTATTAAGAATATAATTAATTTGTTTCCTTATTGCTTCATCTAAATACTAAATAAATGAACTTTATATGGACTAAGATAATAAATTTTACTTACTTGCTAATCTGAATGTGACACATGAACATTTTAGGCTCAATCATAACTATAATAAGCAGTAGTATTAATGCTGCAATATTGTATTTTACCCTTTGAATAATTTTGATTAACTAATTTTTTTTGTTCTTCTGCTAATTTAGTATTTTTATTATAATAATTTCTTTCTAATCTTACCTTGGATAGATATTCTTTAAATCTTTTGAGTAAATCTTTGGCATCTTTTTCTTGGCGAGCATTATAATATAAACTATCTCTAAAATGTTAACAAGTATCATACAAATCAGTTCTTGGACTCATAATTTGAATTTCTGGTGTCAATTGATATCATAACTTCCTAAAAGCATCATACTTCAAAGATTTTAATTTGTTATCTTCTTCTAAACCAGCCAGAAAATCTCTATGAACTGATTTATAACTCATTTCTGCTGGTAAAAATATAACTGATTGGGTTATTCTATTGATACTTCTTCTTGGATTTGGTAATTCATGAACATCTGCATAATTTTCCAGAAAATTCTTTACTACTTTTGCAATATTTTTATTAATCACCATTTTGGTTTTTCATTGAGGTATCTTCTTTATATTGCCATGAACTCTTGCTAGAAGACTATTATTAATCAAGTGATTTCTGATATTTTCAAAATAAGTTTTACCAATGCCTAACATATTGAGATAAGTTTCTTAACAAAGTAGTGTATTATGATCCCAGTGATAGAAAGTTTTTTTATTGGATCTATTTTTCTTTTTAAGGCATCTACTGGTACTTATTATTTCACCATTCATTACTTTAATCTGTGCCATTAAAAATATATCTTATTCTAGTTTAGAGAGAGCTTGAAAGGATTCCCTTAATTTTGCAAATTATTGCTTGAAATTCTTGAAGAATAACCACAATCACATCCTTTTTCTAAAAAATTAATTGCCTTTTCATATTCAATAGAACCACTATGATTATTGTTTTTATTAACGCTTTTCATATATACTTATTCCTATATATAAATTTTATGTTCACTTTATAAGTTTTTATTTATTTTAATGCAGGCATATCAAAAAAGCAATCACTGATTTTCAGAATTTCAAAGTAGAAAAGGTTTAATTTATTAAAAACAATTATAATCAAATATGCTGTTGAAATTCTTTGTTTAGCTTTATTATTAACACATTAATCTATAAAATAAACATTTTGCTAGATTATCTATTTGTAATAAATTCTGAGTATATTAGAAAAGTGTTTTAACATGTTCCTTATCTAAAAACAATTTTTTATGCATATTATTCACTAGTCTATATACATTATTACCTAAACTTATAATATCTAAAATTTTTACAAGATTATTCCACCTATCATGTATGTACATATACTTGTTATTATAAATACCATCTGAAGTTTGATAACTACTATCCCAAGGGAGTTTCTTTTTTGTAATAATACTAACTAGATAAATAAATGTATAAAATAGTGATTCAAAATTATCCTTCTCTACATAATCATATGCTGTATTTGGTTAGTCAATATATAATGATAAGACAGACAATGATGCAAAAACAGGTTTTCCTGTAAATGATTTTTAAGAATTGTTTTCTTTTCTGCAAAATATATCCCAGTCAATAATTCTCATATTATCATCAGTATCAATAATTAAGTTATCAATTAAATAATCTTTATACAATATTCCTTGTGAGTGTGCATATTGAAAACCAACATCTACTTGCTGAATCCATTTCAACAACTGGTCACACTTTTGATGATTATCTTGAATCTTATCCAATGCTGATTTTATAAGAATACCTCAAGGTTATAATAAAATTGCATAAGAGGATCCCAAATTTCCACTATTACATAACTTAATGATATATGAATATGACAACTTATTCAACATTTCTTGTTTATGATGAAGAAGATCTAAATTTTTACCATATTTTATAATATAATCCACATCTGTATTTTTATCATGTTCAATGAAGATGGAGGAATACTTGCCATACCTTTCCTTCAACATGGATACTTTATCAATCTTCATAGTTTGCTTATTATATGCAAACAAATAGGGAAGAGTTGGAAATAAAAATGGGTGTAAATCCTAGAGAAGCAGGTGATGACTTTAACAATCTGACCAAAGTGCATACCCTTTTTCAGCCTGTGTTCCTGCATTAGTAAATAATGATAAAAGTCCAGTTTGGTAATATAGAAAGGATGGAGTGGTATGATGAATTGTCTTGATGATTTTCATTTGTCTACAATCCAATACAATGTCAAAGATAAATTTTCTCAGACGTTGCTGTTTCAAAATTTCCATATGCCTATCACAAACTTGACCAATTGCTTCTTTATGACTTGTTGTATTATTTATATTACCCTTACCTTCAATAACTACTACTAATTCAGTCTATAAACGTTGTCCATTTTTGTGTACAATTATAAAATCTATCTTTGCAGTTGGATCATTTATTGGAGATTTTCTTGTATCATGAAATTCATAAGGAGTATGTGATATTAACAATTCTAAAAAAGATTTAATTTGATCAGTATATTGATCTTTACTATTGTTTACTGGAAATGTAATGCTAAATTGTAATATATCAGTTGATTTTATTTCTTCAAATACTTTTTTTTTATTTAGAGTCTTTTCATCATTTAAAATGATTATAAGTTGTCATTTTTAGATTTTTTTTAACCTTTCTATCTCATGTTCAAGAAATGAAAGACAACATTTTATATGAATAGGTTCTATAATATATAAAGTAAGGTGTAAATTAATTGTTAGAAAGAATATAACAAATAATTTCAGATAACTCACAAATTAAATCTATTCTTTTGTATTATAAAATGAAATGACAAACTAACCATTTTCTATTCCTTGAAAACAGAGGAACAATATTGCAATTATAGATGTAAAGATAAAAAAATAAAGCAAGTTTGCATATTTATTAAAAACAAAATAACAAATAACCAAAGAAAAATATTAGTCAATATTGTTAAACAAATAAACGAAATGTAATGAATAGAAATAATTTTTTGTATATTTTTTTATGCAATTTGTTCATTACCTTTTCCCTTGCTAAAGTTAATTAATTCCTTCTGTAAGTATTCTACCTGCTTCTCCCACTGAACTTTGCTCTCCTTCAACTCTCTTTCTTTTTACTCTAGTCTCGTCTTCTCCTGCTTCTCTCCTTTATTAAGTTCTTCTTTTCTTTTTACCTTTCCTCTCAACTCATCTAACCACTTCCCTTGATATTTTTTCTCCTTTCACTGCTTTAACTCTTCTTTTGCATTTTCATGTTCTTTCAGTATAATGTCTATATATTTATCCTTTTTAATTTCATCAAAAATTGTCGCCATTGTTAAAAAAAAGAAAGTAAAAATTAATTGAAAAAAAATATTTTTTTTTATTGATTTAGATTATAATTATTATAATTAATTGTTTCTATAAATAATTTGGACCAATGATAAATTAGTAGATACATGACTTGGAATTAAAAATTTTTTTATGGAACAATAGAAATGATAAAAGAATTACTTTTTATTTTAATAATAGAAAAATACATAAAAATATAAGTTAAAAAATTATCAGAGCACTTGCATGGGAAGAAATACTTGGACCCAAAGCCATTTATAAGTATTACCTATTCTTTGAGTATTCTGATAAAAATCTAACTTTCACTATTACTACTGCTATTCTTTTTATTATTATCAATAATATTATTATTACTAATATTTATATTTTTATTGTTTTTGTTATCTTCTTCATCTTTCCTCTTCACCACTTTCATCTTCTCCTTCTCGACCCACTTCTGAATTGCTTCTATCATTTTCTTTTAGGATTTGTTTTCCGTTGGTAAAAGTTTTTTATTGTGAAAGCAGCAACGTCTTTTCCCTCTCCAATTAATTCACGAATTTCCATAACCATTTCATTGAATAAAAAATTTGGATTCAATTCAGTCTTTTTATTAAATAATTGCTTGAAATCCTTCCATAGATTTTCAATTTCTTGTGAATATTTTTTATCGCCAATAAGATTGTTTATTTTATTTTTGAATTAGCTTTTTTTTGGTTCTATTTTATCGATTATTTGATCGATTTTTTGATTTATAGTAAAAAGTAAAGCTCTGAATGGTTTAGATTAATCTGAAAATTTTTAGTTCAGATCAACTTTAATTCAGTTTCAGATTGCAAAAAATTCAATCTAAAAATTTTCAGTTCAGTTCAGATTTTTTTCAGATTATAAATCTAATCTAAACCAAAAAAATCTGAACTGAACTGAAAATTTCAGATTAGAGCTCCGAATCAGGTCAGGTCGACCTGTTTACCTGACCCGAACTGACCTGAAAATTCAGGTCAGGTCAATAGATTTTCAGGTTGATGTCAGGTCAGGTCAACAGGTCGAACTGATCCGATCTGACCCGACCTGATAAAAATTCAAGTTAATCAATCATTCTTCTTAAATAATTTATTATCGTTAAATTAGAAATAATAAAGTTGATTAAATAAATTAATAATTGTTTATTACAGTCCGCGATATAAATATCCGGAATTTTATCGGTAGCACGAAAAAAGCCCCTATACCGCCAATTTATGTCTGACCAAAACAAAAATC